TTCACACTTTGCCATAGTGGCAAGACATAGGTGAAATTAATCCTCTTGGTTGGAACAAATTACAATGCTAGAGGTAAAATTACAAAATAAGACGTGTTTATTTTCAGATGGGACGTTGCTAGCGAAGCCTAACAATGATATGGCTTGAGCCACTTAGCATTTATGAGATTCAATAACAATTCCCCTTCATGAGTCTTGAGGCGACAATATCCACTATCATGTGCCTCTGCGATGATGAAAAGACTATCCCAATTTGTAGCAAACTTAGAGTGACCTGTGATGTTCCTCCTCACATGGTCGAAGGTTTTCAGAACCATCTACCCAAACATGAAAAGTCCAACTTTGATTGCATGTTTGTAGGCATTTGTCATCTTGGCTTGATATTTCTAAGCCTTTTCTTGTGTTATCTAGCAAAGTGCTTCAATAGATTCTAAGTCTTCAATTCACCTTTGGCCACAAATATCAACATTGCTACCTAGTTCAGATGCAACCAAGATGTGTGCAGTTGGCACTAAGACTTCGTTAGGGAGGACGGCATCATAGCCATATACTAGAAAATAAGGCAAAAAACCTATGGCAATCTTGGATGACATCCGATAAGCCCAAAGAGTGTCTTGCAAATGAGTACTCCATCCTACTTCATATTCGTAGACCATCTTACTTAGAATTCTTAGCAAACTTTTATTGATAGCCTTCGCTTGGCTGTTGCCTTGAGGCTAGTATGGAGTGGACTTTCGATACTTAATCTTATAGGTATCCAACAATCTTCACACGTGCAGATTAACAAAAGGAGTTCCATTATCACTTACAATTTTGTATGGTATCCAAAAGGATTAATTTGTGTGCTTTTTGATAAAATTCGACACCGTTGGACTTGTAGCCTTGTGAAGAGAGACTGCTTAACCCACTTAGTAAAACACTCAGTGGCCACCAATATCCAAATGTAACCTTCGGATGGGGGATGGACGGGGCCGATAAGATCCAAGCCCCAAGTGTGAAAAGGCCAAAGAGTTTTCATATCTTGCAACAGATTAGGATGAGAATCAATAAGGCTGGCATGAATGTGGTAGGTGTGACATCGCCTGACGAAATTTGTAGCATATTGTTTCATACTTGGCCGATAATTACCATGAGCCAAGACTTGCTCATATAGCTTCCTCCGTCCTTGATGTTCATCGCATTCTCCTGCAGGTACCTCAACCATGACCTTCTGAGATTCTGTTAATGATAAGCAACGAAGCGGTTCACCAGTGAAGCTGGTGCAAAACAAAACTCCACTGTCCATGAAAAACTTTGACAGGGTTCTTTTTTAGTTGTGTGCATCCTTCAGGGATTTTGGCCATATTCACTCAACGAAGTATTCCATGTAAGGATGACACTAATCTTGAACGTTGTTGACAGAAAGGCATTCTTCGCCCTGATAATAAGTTTGTTGGCATGACACACATTGTTGCTAAAATTCAATGGCTTGCCGTGCCATGTCTGGCTGATAATACTCTATTCATTGGATTCGATGGTATAGGCTTACACGATTATCTTGCCACATGTGCAATCATGAATTTCTTTAAGTCAGTGATTGGCATCTTTATTGCTGATGCACCTAGCCATGATACCACTAGGGAGGCGGTAATACAACTCATGAGAAATGATAGCACAGCTGGACAGATCTTTCAAAGGCACATCAAATTTTTGCTACAGTAAAGCATTATAAATCTTGTACTGCTAGTTAGCATGGTCAAGTAGCTTGAGTAAAACAAATTTGCAACCATGGTAAATAGGTTTCTCTTTCTAAACAACCTGGACGCTGAGAGGACTCTTGGCCATAGGCACCTCAAAGTGATTGTGGCTAAGGCATCAACCAATCGGTTCTTTGTCCGAGGCATTTGCTCATATCTTATGCTAGTAAAAGACTACTCCAAGTTTTGGTTGAGAGAGTGATAAGGCACGTGATGTTCTTCTCAAACAGTGAAGGTGCCTTGAACCTGGCCGAGGATCAAACCTGAATCGCCAATGATTTTCAAGCACTACACACCAGCTTCTTTAGTTTGGCAAGTCTAATTATAAGCTTCATACTTTTCCATGTTGTTTGTGCACTAAAAATCAAGTTTGAATGAAAATACCATATCATAGCCTTTGTTAGCCTTTATCATTTTTGAGAATAATGCCAGCCCCAACCTCTTCAACCATGGAAGAACCACTAAAGTATAGTATCCATTCTTCCTCAATTCCTGTGCAACAGCAATCTCACCACTTGGGACTTCATTAGAAGTAGGATATTAGACTTCGCTAAAGAATTTAGACATCAAGTTTGTAACAACTTGTCTCTTGATAGCACTAGGATTAATGCACGTAACATCATATTGAGATAATTGAAGAGACCAATTAACAAGATGGTCAGTAAGCATGGGTCGAGTTAGAAGGCATCGAATAGGCTAAGACTTGGTAATGAGTTACACTTTGTGAGTCAAAAAGTAATGTCAAAGGCGTTGAGATACATAAATCAGTGCAAGACAAATTTTCTCAACAAGAGTGTATCTCGATTCAGCACCCTTTAGGTTTCGGCTAACATAATAAATTGACTATTCTTTGCCTTCTTCATCATCTTAGGCAACTAGAGCACCCATGGACAAGTAAACTTTAAGTGGCTTGCCTTGGATAGGAATAGATATGGTTGGCAATTTAAGCATGAGATCTTGCAAATATGAAAGGGCATGTTGCTGGTCTTTTGTCCATATAAAGGTAGCCCCTTTTTTTTAGCAAATAGCTAAACACGGACAGAATTTCTACCAACAAAGAGATGAATCTGTGGATATATAAGACTTTGCCAATGAAGCTTCGTAACTAATTGAGATTCTTAGGCAGCTACATGGCTTGAATAGCTTCATACTTGGCTGGATCCACACTGATGCCATGTTTATTCACAAGAAAACCTAGGAACTTTCAAATAGAGACACCAAACACACACTTGGCTAGATTCATCTTTAGCTTGTATAAACAACATCTATCAAAGACTTTTCTCAACACATTGAAGTGGCCTAGCCTTGTTTTGGACTTTACCATAATGTTGTCAATGTAAATTTCAATATATATGTGTATGAAATTGTGAAAAATAGCCACAATGACTTTTTGATAAGTAGCCCCTGCATTCTTGAGTCCAAAAGACATAACATTATAATAGAAATTACTGATAGGAGTGTGAAAAGCGATTTTCTCTACATCGCTGAGACACATATTGACTTGATTACATCCACTACTACCATCCATGAGGGAATACATCTCACAGCCAGCAGTATTGTTCATCAGCACATCCATGTTTGAAATGACAATTCATGATTCGGACATGCCTTGTTGAGGTTGCGGAAGTCAACGCAACACCTGATTTGCCCATTCTCCTTTTGAATTGACACAATGTTAGCCAACCAAGTGGCCTTCTTGGTCAGCTTAATGAATCCTACAACCAAGAGCTTCTCGAACTCTTCTTTAATTTTGAGCATAACTTCTAGGTGAAAGGCAACTTCTAGGTGAAAGGCAAGATTTGGCTGCACAACCGGCTTTACTTTAGGATCAACACTTAGAGAATGCACCACCACGGCTAGATCAAACCCCGGCACTTCTAGGTGAAAGGCAAGATTTGGCTGCACAACCGGCTTTACTTTAGGATCAACACTTAGAGAATGCACCACCACGGCTAGATCAAACCCCGGCATCTCAACACAGTTCCAAGCCAAGACATCTTTGTATTCCCAAAACAAGTCGATCAACTTGGCTCTCTCATCAGTAGAAAGAGTGGTGCTAATATGCACATGTTTAAGATTCGCTAGATCATCCCCAAGATCAACAGCTTCGAGAGACTTCAAAGAAAAGAGTGCTGGTTAAGCCTTATGGAGGGTTGGCAACTTGTCTGGCGATATTAGATGATCAGCTTCGCTAGAAACATCTAAATGCTCAACAAATAATTTATTTCCTGCCTTAAGAGTAAGGCATTCTGCTTCGCTGGAAAAATCTCACTTGCTAGTCGAAGAGTCTTTCTTTAGGGTGAAGAATATATGATTAGGAGACATGGCTAGACTACTGGCAATGGGGCTATCCTGCACATGGCCGAAAGGCCTTACGCATCTTTATAAAGTATACTTGACCCTCCCATCGAGAATGATAGTTCAAGTGCATTTTGGGCATGCTTGAACAGCCTTTGCTGCCTCCTTCTTCTGCCTCTTATGTTCAAGAACACTTCACAGATCAAGATTAGGATTATCCTTGATGTCGGTCTATGCTGGCAAAGTAGTGCCACCTAGGCGAGATGTTGTTGTTTTGCTAGAAAGAGCGAACTCATCATAAAAAGTGGCCTCAGCAAAGTGCGTCTCAGTTTGATCAAATGGAAATGGATTGACAAAGATGTGGAAAACCTTCCTATTTAAATGTTCCTTCACACATTGGTGATAAGTAGAAAGAATAATTTTATGCCGGTGCAACCATGGTCATCCCAGTGATACATGATAAGAGACATCCGTATCAATAACATAACATGTAGTTTGAGATTGTGTTGAACCAACCTTTAATTCAAGCTAAATGTATCCAAGGGCGTACTTGCTACCGCTGCCAAAGCCAACAATGCTAAGTGGGAACCTGACGATCCTTCATTGGGGAATCCCTGCAACGATGATGGTGCGCAATGGTATCAGGTTTCGAGAAGATCCAATATCAACAAGTGCACGTTTGATACTGATAGAATTAATCTGAGCAGATAAATAAAGAGACTTTCTATGGTCAAGATACGATGCCTCCATATCTTCGTTAATGAATGTGATGGCATTAGAGGACTCAAGATAAGCACGGCTATCATGTGCTTCGGTATTGAGGCACTCTCCTTCGGTCTCATCAGCAATAGAGAGGATGGCTTCTATGGCACTTCATCGTGCTTTAGTAATGAAACTAAGCTGATTAAACAACATCTTGAATTTTGGAGTTCACTATAATGCACGGATAGAGAAGTTGGATGCATTGTCAGGAAATTCAACTATCAATGCACTTGCTCCGGTGTCCTCCACATGGGTAAGAACGTTGACAGTGCCTTGGTTGTGGTGTGGAAGAGGATCTTCGTTCACTCTTTGTCTTTTGTTTGGGACTTCTAACAATCCTTCTGCAACTTGTCGATGATATATTATTCTCAAAGAAAAATAGTCCATGGTTGAGTAATGGACAAAGTGGTGATAGCGATAGTTCTTGGGATTGCGCTTCTATCATCATCATTGGGCTTGCGAAGTGACTAAGGCACTGTAATGGCATCGTCAATGATCCAATGATCTAGGAGCACATCAAGTTCTTCGATCGTTAGAGGAATTGATGGTGGCGGTGCTATGTCATGATCCCTCCTTTTTTGACCTTATCTTTGGCTGTGAATAGAGACAGCTAAGGTATGAGCGGTGGCAAACTTCCCAGCAGGCATAGCTTTGATAGAAATGGCTGTCCTTCTAGCAACATCTATAAGCTTTGCAAACTAAGTGATCCTAATATTTTTAAGGACAGCCCGATACTTTGGAAACATGTTGTTGATGCAAATCTCTACCAAAAAGGATTCAGCATGGCCACCATAGCAATCAAGTGCCAAATCTTTAAATCTCTTCACGTAAACCATCAAATCCTCATCGGTACATTGGCGAGTGTTATGGAGATCAAGGATGTTGATGCGTTCCTCACTTTAATAATATTTTTGACAAAATTGCTTAACCATCTCATCCCAAGAACAAATAGAGCCAGGAAGCAAAGTGGTGTGCCATTTGTAAGCTCTATTAGAAAGAGATTTTGAGAACTCACATAGGCACAAATCTTTATCGCCAATGTGAGCCCCTATGGCATCAAGGAACTTACCGACGTGCCTTACAACACTGCCCTTCCTTCCATCATATTGCAGGAACACAAGACTCTCATATTTCTTCTGATAAGGCTTTGATGAAATCTCCTTTGGGTAGCGTAGATTGCGGACGAATTGGAAGGTGGTTGGGCATTGCTTAGAACACTATTTATTCAAGAAAGTAGTGAGATCTATCATGGTGACCAAGCCTTGAAAGAAGTTAACTACGTTGGATGGAACTCCATCAGTCCTGGCAGTTGTAATTATTGGTAGTGCCAAGTTGTTTGGTTGCGCAACAGAACCCCCATTACTGTTGATAACCTTAGTCTTAACTTCTTATGGTTGGTGTGGCTGAGACATTCCAACCATATTGGCTGGCTGACCTTGGTCCTACACAGTATGCTGAGTTTTTAAGCTGGTGAAAAGTTGGGTAGTCCTCTGTTGGTCCTCGTGTAAGACCCGAATAATTTGGACCAAAGATGTAAGGCCAGGGTTAAAGATTCCTTGCAAAAGATCATTAAAAACATCCATTGATGGACGTGGCTGCTGAACTTCCTGTCCATCATCTTGGCCAAGTTCCTGATTTCCATTAGCAATGCGAGATGAACTTACCTTCATGATAAGCATAGTCAGAAAAATTTTGCTAAAGTCGAATAAATACTGTTGAGGAAGAATGTTGAAAATGTTATACCGTTGAAGGAGAGTAGAATAAGATGAAGCTCTAGGACAACCTCCTCAATGGAGTCGCCATTTTTGTTGGGGTGTGCTAATGATGTAAGATGATGAGTCAGCAACGAAGATGATGTGGATGCTAACTTGGATGCCACTCGTAGAAAAATGAGGAGGGTCCTTTCGGTAGCACCCATTTCACATGTTGGAAGCTAGGTGCCATAGGCCATCTCGTTTTATCCAATGATGATGGTTAACAGCAAATTCTCCAATGAAGTTGATAAACACTAATCCTCTAGCCAAGTCGAGAAGAAAAGGGCTGAGTAGAAAACAATGGAATCCCAAGAACCAAGGATGATTACACAACTACCAAAAGAGTAACGAGGAAGTAAATATCATAATAAGAGCAGCATGGATGGAGGATACATAAGGGTCAAAGATTACAACTTGAGAATCACATTTATACATAAAGTATTGTGACATGATAATAATGACACTAAATGCGACCTCTATTATCTCTAGTAAATATCCTCATTCTATAAGAGCAACCCTCATATTATAAATGGGAAATACAACAATCTCTCTTCTAAAATTCTTTCAAGATAAAAAGGAATAAACTTGAAAGTGGTGATGGGAGAAGGAAGGATGACTGCTTAGAGGCTTTTGAGTGGAGTGCTTGATCCCATTTTTAATGCTAACCTGGTAGCTTGATCCTCTGATGCTCAAGAAAAATTACCTAGAAGCTGAAACTGAAGCATGTTGTTGTTGTACCTATGATTTTGATGATTACAAAACACATTTGAGTGACTAATTGGTTCATTTAAGTGTGTAGTTAAAATGTCAAAAGATTGCAAAATAAGTAAACTTGGACTGCACTTAAAAATGGACTAGAAAGGCTTGAGTATGTGCAGAGAGCCGGCTCTTGAAAGCTGCAACTGGCTTCGATGAAATGGAAGTGCAGAGAGCCGACTCTGGAAGCTGCAGCCGCCTCTACGAATAAAGATTTAAAGGTTCGTTGTTTGACGTGCTCGGAGAAAAGACGCAAAGCCGGCTCCAACTTTGCAGCCGGTTGTAAGGGTGCATTTAATACACAACGGTCGACTTATTTGAAGAATAATTAATATTTTTTTAAAGTCGAAATACCAAAGCTGACTCTACGTTTTTTGCAGCTGGCTGTGGAAGAAAACAGAATGTGCAGTAAACCCACAAAGCTGGCTTTGCGTTTTGCAGCCGGCTCTACGGAGAAAACAGAATGTGCAGCATCCTGCAAAGCTGACTGCAGAAATTGTAAGCCGGCTCCAAGAAGTTAAGCCGACTATCCTGATAATCCTGCAACTCAAACTTTGAGTCCTGTAGAGTATTAAATGACTCCCAACGGCTAGTAACGGCTAGTAACGGCTATTTTCGACCATGAGATTATAAATATGGTTGGTAGAAGATCTGAAGAAGTTTAGAGAGTATTGCATTGAATATCTTTACCTACCTACTTGAGCTTTAACTTGAGTTTTTGATCTTTGAGTGATCTTTGCTTGTAATCCTCTTCTTGTTCTATTAGTGGATGTTCTCGAGGGTGTGATTATTCCTTCAAGAGTGATCTATTGAGAGGATTCTTGGGGTTTACATTGTAAATGGGTGAGGTTTGAGACAAACACCCTTATTCTTGTAAAAGGATTGAGTGGCTCCTTTAAGCCACCCTTGTTGTTGTTAGTGAAGGGTGTGGAGGAAATCCTTGGTGAGTGAAGCCAAGGTAGGGGACTAGGCTCCAAGTAGTTGGATCGAACCTCTATAAAATCATTGAGCAAGCTCTTTTTCTCTACTCTCTTTATTTTAGGTTTTGTGGTTGCAAAAAGGGGAGAATTTTTGGAACTCCAATTCTCCCCCCCTCTTGGAGTACATTGAGTCAATAGTTGTCTCCCAACCATGATGTGTTACAAGTCTGGAAATTATTCTGTAGTGCTGGAGGTGTAAGAAATAATGAAGTAAATAGTAATTTTTGGGTGATTTTGGTGTGTAAAATGAGAGGTTGAAGACAGAGGGTTCTTTAGAGGGAAACTAGAGGTCTAGTGTGTGGGGAAGGAAGTTGGCATTGTGAAGGATTATTGTTTTATGCTGAAAAATGGAGGGAAAATAATATATACATGTGCAGTGGTATTTTTGTAGTTTTTGGGTTGTGTAGTGACTAAGAAATAGGTTTGGATGAGCTATTAAGCTTTTAGTGGCTCTAGACACTGCTAACTGTTCTTTGGCAATGGCATCATGAATTACCTAGTGGCTCGAACAAAACTTTGCTAGTTCTAGTGAAGGACTAGAAATTGACTACTTTTGGTAATTTATCCAATCATACGAAATTTCATTTTTGGGGGGATATTTGAGTGCAACCAGTAAACATAAAATCTACCAAGGATTTTGGAAAATTCCCTAGGTAAAATGTAATCTTTTTCAACAATTTCCAAGGCTATAAAACTTGTGCAGCCACCTTTACATTGAATATGGCTGCAAGTTACTGATGCTGACCAAAACAACATCTATGATTAGTTTTCTAACATGATTTTGAACTTCTAGTTAACATCCAGTGGTATGATTTTGGGAATCAAGTCCATCTCCATGTCTTCACCACCTAGCCTTTTCTAGCAAAGTCAAGGAAGATCCCCAGTGCCAAGCTTCGTTGGCGTGAATACATTGGTTCGCTAGATGGGCATCATTCACCCATCCATGCCTACCAAGCCACCACTTTCATAGTTTATCCTGAGTAGTTCCCATGAGCTTGGGTTCATGGGCTTATGTTTATCTGCGATGAAAGCAAGATACAAGTGAGTATATTCAGATATTTAAGTGTAAAACGTATGGATATGTGTAATGAAGAAGGGTACTCCCTTGTATATTAGAGGGGACGATGTGGATGAATGTTTTGTTGCACCGTTCTGTCTGCTGGCCACGACAAATGCTTGTATAATGTTGTTATATATAGCTAGCATAGTGCTAAGACAAAGAATAAGTGGTGTAGATGTGTGCTGCAATATTGTTATCTTGAGTTAAGTATCGTTGGCTAGTGATACCTACTAACACGTAGAGTATAGAAGACTTATGTTATGAGTCAGGATTATTGGCAACTGATAAGTTTGTCTCTTTGTGTGAGAAAATAATGATGTGCATAGCGATCAGCCATGTAAATATTACAGGGTTAGCTATGAATAGCTTCCTTATAGCCAAAGGGACAACAATGGCTAGCTTTGCCCATGGCTGAAGTGTGAACTATGTGGAATCGGGAAAGCACTCCCACTAATCCGTCAAGTCGCGAAGGGGTAGATATCACTAAGCCAGACTCGACCATGGTGATGAATAAGTGATAGAGAGAGGTGAATTTGTCTCCATAGAGGGGGGACACCAGCTGCATCCATGGCCTCTGATACAACAAGGTATGATACCACTAACAAATGCTAACCCTTCTTGCCATACCCACACCGTCAGAGGGTGGTCCTGGTTGTTGTTGCTCGCCAGGCACCGCACCGCCATGCATCGATGACCATCAAGGAACCATTGGCTGCTACTTGATGGATTTTCATCATTGGAGAGTAGCCATCCCGTCCGATCGCAGGGTTGCAACTGTTACTGGCTTCACGTTAATCGTACTGAGTTGCACTAACTCTTTGTCCATTTTTGAGAGCTAGTGAGATAAAATATGTAGAAATCCGACCCTTTGTCCGTTGTTGGGAGCTGGTGTGATGAAGATATGTAGAGATATGTAACCTTTTACCCATTGTTGGAGGTTAAATATGATAATGAATCTGGCCCTGTGTCCATCGTGGGAAGCCACAAGAGGTAGTAGTAAATATTGCTATGGGGGACATGACTGTAAAAAATGTCCAGCTATGTCGTGGAAATAGATTTAGCCATGTTTGGCCATGTATATAAAAATGGATGCTAGAGTGGGCTGCATTTTGCAATGTTTCCAACAAAGTAGACGAATGCTGTTTCTGGCGATGCTGACTTTGTTACAATCATTAGTAGAAAATAAGAATAGCATGTCTGATGTGAAAAATAAGTCATAGGGGCCCTTACTAATATGGAGCCGTTCATGTCATCAAATTCAAGGCCATATAAATTTATCCCTCAACACTCACTTTAATCTCAATTGCCTATAGAAAGATAAAATTGTCATCTATAAAAAAATATTGCTCTTACTTTTGAGCTATATATCTTAGGCATTTGAAGCTTCATTTTATACTTAAAGTTTGAGCTTTAGGAATCGTATACTGCAAGCATATTAAGCTATAGTTTTCTCAAGTCTTACAAGGAATTTCACATAATTATCATGTATTCAAATGTTGCAATATCCATAAATTACATTTGAAATCTTTTAGAGACTTCTAAAAGATATGTTGATAATAAAACCTATCAAAAGAGACTATCTTCTCATATCTAATTTCAGGTTATGCATAAATCTTTGTATTATAAGTTTAGCTTTGTGTTCATTAAATATTCTTACAAATACCACTTGTAGCTTACTAACTTTATAGTATTATATGTTTGGACTACCCATTATTTTAATTTTACTTAGATTGTCTCTTTTTATATTAGCTAGTCATTTCTTTATTGACATTTTTCAACAAATTTTAGTCCAAGATCCTCTTTTCATTGATTATATCCTTCACTCTTATATATAAAAAAATTTCTTACCAATAATAATTTCATTCAATTCCATCCTTTCTTTAGAAGAATCATAATTTATAGAAATCTCTCCATTATCTATAATTTCAATATTCTTATTATTTTCAAGTATTTGAATCTTCTTCGGGATTATTTTTTTCAAACTTTCTCAACTACCACATCAAGCTTTGAAAAAGTAGGTAATCCAGCAAACAGTAGTCCCGCCATTGAATGCCAAATGAGAATATGCACCAACACAGTTAACCCCAATGGACACTCAAATGGGCTAAGGAAATGGGTATGACAAGGATTATTGCAGAGAGCAATTGTGCCACATTTTGGTGGCTTGGGTGTTTTCCGCAAGTGATTTAGGAGCGGTACTCAAAGATTGCAAGGAGTTACTGAAAGTTTTTTCTTTCTGTAAGGTGCAACACGTACGTGGAGATAGAAATATGGTGGCTCATGAATTAGTTAGGCGTGCGCTAAAACATTCAGTATGATGAATACTGGATTGAAGATGTTCCTGTGGTGGCCCAAGGTTCCTTAATGAGAAGCCAATGGTGTAATTGATCCATGGCTATCTACTTTTCTTGTATTGAAATAAAACTGGAATATATCTGCATAAAAATATTGTTTTATAAAAGTCGAGTTTTTTAATTGTTTTATAAAAGTCCGGTTTTTAATTAACGCTTTGTGTGCCAAGGATATTGTTGACTTTTTCAAAATGTCTTGATCAACGTATAATAAATTTGGAGTAATACTCACACTTAAATAAGATGTAAAGTTAGAATTTCTCTAAACCACGAAGTGAGACTTTAATTAAATTAAAAATAAAAATAATAACAATAATAATCCAACTAAAGTTGAAACAAAGAGGGTATTCAGTTTCTTTTTTTTTTTTTTTTAAGAAAGAATTGAACCCGATCCTTGAAGTAGGCTGTTTGTTGAGTTTTTGTCTGATTGAACTCAAAAGTAGAAGCATTTTCCCAGGTAATAAGGGCAGAGTGAAAAACTGAGGAAAGAAGACGATGGTGTTCTCTATTCCTGAAAAAGTCAATAAGCTCTGGGATTGCTGGAACATAAGAGGATTCATTATCTTAAGCCTCTCGGTGCAGGCTTTCTTGATTCTGTGCGCACCTCTAAGAAAAAGAAGATGGGGGAAATGGGGAAAATGTCTCGACATATTGATCTGGTCAGCATACTTGCTCGCAGACTGGATAGCCAGCGTCGCCATTGGATTCATCTTAAGCAACAAGGTGAAAAATTCTGCTAGAAGTAGTGACATCCAGGTGCTTTGGGCTCCCTTTCTCCTGTTGCACCTCGGTGGCCCGGACACCATTACTTCATTTGCTCTTGAGGATAATGAGTTTTGGGTAAGGCACTTGCTTGGGCTTGCGTTACAGTTTGGTTCTACGCTCTATGTCTTCATGTTGTCACTTCCAGAGAACAAGCTGTGGCTTCCAACCCTTCTAGTGTTAATTGCAGGAACAATCAAATATGCAGAGAGGAACCGTGCTTTTTATTTGGCAAGCTTTGACCATCTTGGAGGTAATTGGGTGTCCAGCGATTGGGGAGATGGAATTCCCATTCCAGCACAATTCAAAAACATGGACAACCAGGCAACTTTTGACTTCGGTGACAGGTCAATAATATGGAGTGCAGTTCACCACTTTGGCAGTATCAAGAGGATGCTTGTAGGTCCTTTTTTATCTCTAAATCAATGCTCTGATATCAGAGACACCTTTCTCCAAGAAGAAGATTCAACTAAAGTGCTGCGAATAATGGAAATTGAGCTAAGCCTCTTGTACGAGGTGCTCCATACCAAGTTGCCTGTGGTTGATTGCAGGACTGGGTACGTTTTCAGGTTCATAAGTCTGGTTTGCATTTTGGGAGCCTTGTTTTCATTCTGGTTCTTTAGGAAGCATGAGTTGGTTCTGTTTGACGTCTTGCTGACCTGTGTATTGCTGACTGGGGCCTTGTTATTGGATTTCGTGTCTGGCATATTGCTCAGTTACTCTGATTGGATGTTTGCTGCTCATTTCCAACGTATGGCATCTTTTATTGATCGGAAACGTATGGCATCTTTTATTGATCGGAAAAATATGGTATCTACATACATCAGCAAGAGGAAAAGGTGGTCTAAAGTAGTTTCTCAGTTAAATTTTGTTACTTATCATTCTAAGGATCATCCATTTGGGTTCCAAACTGTTGCTGATTTTCTTCACATAAATAGTTTGTTGGAATCCATAAAAGGAATCCGATGTCTATCCTCCAAAAGTTTAAGGGAAGACCAAGAATGGCGCTTCATTTTCGATGAAGTGAGAGAACTGAATGAGTTTTTAATTCGTATACTGAAAGACTCGTCAAAGACCGTACTAGAGGCCAAGGAAGTTTGGTTATGTAGCCGGGAACGAGTTCTTAAGAGCTTTAAACTCCCCGAGCTCACCCAGATTATCGCAGGGTTGGATTACACGGAAAGCATTCTAGCGTGGCATATAGCCACTGAATTATGCTTCCAAGGAGCAGACCAAACTTCTCCGCCTAAGACTGAGCGGATTGATTACAGAGAAATATGCAAGCGTTTTTCAGATTATATGTTCTACCTTGCAGAAATGCAGCCCAATATGATGGCAGCCGTATCAGTCAATTGGAAAACAGTATTTGAAGCCACACTGGATCAGACCGAGTCATTAGTGCCCAGGAGTTCTGTCTCAAATGAAGTGGATGCCAGCAGAAAAATCCTTCAACTGGCTATAGATGCCACGGTAGATTCAGGAGGGAAGGTGAAGAAATCTCGATCTGTGTTACATTGTGCATCTAAGCTTGCCAGCCAGCTCAAGATGATGAATCAGACAGACAGATGTCCATGGGAGCCATTGAGCAAAGTGTGGGTACAACTAATGTGCTTTGCTGCTATTAATTGCAGGCCAAACGTCCATGCGCAGCAACCTAGTAAGGGCGGGGAACTTCTCACATTCGTTTGGTTGTTCATGAATCATTTGGGACTGGGAACTCACTTTTCAACCCATTACTAAGATTAGTGACTTTCGCGAAACCCTTCGGTGAAGTTCGATTCCTGTATAATGTCCTTCTTTGTTATCTTTCTTTTAATGAGAACTCCATTGTCTTGTGTTTGGAGCATTAATTTTCAAAAAGTTTGGTTTTGTATATTTGATTTAGTTAGTTTATTTTGTATCAGCGGCAGATTCTGCATTTGAATTTTTTCCTGTTCTCCTTGACTTGTGTCTTAATTTTTTGTTCATAATCTATACGAGCTCAGAGTAAGACGCAACACAGAAGGGGAGTGAACTGAGAATTTTTTGCAATTTTATACACGGTAT